GGTCCTGGTGGTCGTTATGTTCGTTTGCAGCCGTCTCCTTTTCTGGCGAAGAATGAGACGGCTGCGTTCCGGAGGGGGCCGTGGGTTGTTGATGCTTGGTTGATCAGGCCGGGGGTGCATCATGTGCTGTGTCCGGTTGCGGCTCTCCGCCGTTATTTGCGCACCACGGCTTCCATTGCCGGGGATGCGCTCTGAGTTGTTTCGGTTTCCCTTCTTCCCTGTTCCCGGGCTTGGGTCTCTTAGGTTGTCCGCAGGGTTATTAAGTGTAGCCAGCCTGCGGTTTTTCCCTGGGCCTACGACGTTCGTAAATTTGCTGCTTTGGCGGCTGTCTTTGGCAACATGTCTTGGGTGGACATTCGGGCTCGGGGTTTTTGGGGATCGAACAGGGTCCTGGTCGCTCGCTACCTGGTGAATGTTCCTGTGTCTTGTCGGGCCTGCGTTGCTTTGGGTCGGCGGTTGCAGCCAGTTGTCTCGACTTCGCGTTGAGGAGTGAGGACGGCCCGCCGCCCGGGTAAGTCCCTGGTTTTTCCTTATCTTTGGGTAGTTAGCTCCGGGGAGCCGAAGGGGCTCCCCCCAGAAAACCAGCGTTGAATGTAATGAAACGCCATTTTCTGGGTGAGTCCCGGAGGCTCCCCGGCATCCCTCCCTCCCTCCGGTCGGCGGTGTTTTTCGCATTTTTGACATCCAGCCTAAGAACTAATGGTTGGGTCGCCGACGGTGGGGTCTGGGGCTCCCCCCTTGCCCCTCCCGGGGAGGGGGGGGGGTTGCGCAGACGGCGGCGCGGCGACATGATGACGTCATGATGGTTAGCTAATTTTCGTTTGGGGAGTTCTGTCCACCTGTTCGGTCTTCGGTCGCAATAGTTTACCAGAATAGGGGTTTGTTTTGGGGCGCCTACCTTTCTGGGTGCCTATCCCGGTCGATGGCAGACATAGAATGCTCCCAATCATACGGGGGGTCTCTATAGGCCATTGCTCCTCGTGCCTCTCTAGAGGGGGCCAGGTTCTGGCTCGTGGTCCCCGGTAGGCAAGAACTCCATGCATTGACTGATGCCAGAAAGTTATACATATCCATTCAGCCTGGATAGCTCCGGGGAGCCTCCGGGACTCACCCAGAAAATGGCGTTTCATTACATTCAACACTGGTTTTTTACTTTTATGAAACCATGCCCATGACCGACGCCTGCCTTTCTGATCTTGACTATTCATTGCTTGTCTGGCTTACTGTCTAGATTGGATAACATCGGTAGCAAGTTAACCAACCCAGATTTCTGATCCGGCCAAATATCGGCTAATCTGGCTTCCATGGACATTTTGGCCGGATGGGGAGATAACTTTATCCGGCAACGATTCTTGCCGTATTAGGGCATTTTCCAGATAGGTGGCTTCCTGATTAGTGGGTGTTGTTACGGAGCCCCCCCCTCCTATTTCTCCCCAAATCCGGCTTTAAGAGTCATCTCTGCTTACCCTGCTGATTCCCTGAGGCGCAGGGAGTTATTTTTTTATATATGAGGCGACCAGATTGGTCACCTAATTGGGGAGAAATTTGTGTTTATAAATTTGTATGCAAGGGGGAAAGTCACACCCTGGGTACAAACAAAATGGCTCCCTCTGTCTTCAAATCCACCCTTTTTTTGGGCGACGCCAGCCGGCTGGCAATTGGCTGGCCGGGGTCACGTGAAGCGGTCGACCAATCAGTGCCGCTGTAACACCACTGAGAGTCCCAGGCGGCGCCAGCGGAGGCGTAGCCCAGAGCTGATCGGACTGTGGACGCGAGTGGTGTGTCGAATAGTTCTCGAGATGGGAGGCTTTGGGAGCCTCGTTCAGTGGATCATAAGCAGCCATTGCAGCTCACCATCAATACTGAAGACCACGTGCTCCTGGGAAGCAAGAAGTAGCCAGAAGTGCCAAAACTTGAGGTGTCAGTCGGCGACGACTCTGGAGGGCTTAGTCTGATGCCCGCGGGTCTGGATGGTGTGGCGAGCAGGACTGCAGTAACTGAGTCAAATCTACTGAGGACGTTGGAGGAAAGACACAGTTTCTAGGTCAATGAGAAATGCCTTTGTGGAAGGAACGTGTGTATACGGTGACTGGCTCAGTGACCACTGGTTGGACCAGGATTGGAAGGCCTGAACTTAGGGAGTGGCACGGAGAAGATGCGATTACTTCACAACACCTGAGGCCCTGCAGCGCTCTACTGGATCGTCAAGGAGCGACTCAGGAACAGTAGGAACCTCACACCATTGAGGGACAGGCGTCGTGAACCAGGAAAGTTGAAGGTAGATCATATTTCCCTCCCATTACCCCTTGTTAATTAGGCTAGTTAGGCCTCCAAATATCTATATATGGTATCAGCATATTTATTAGTACATTAGTATTAGGATAGGCTGCAGGGCAGCTAGTATTTGCGACTGTTGAAGAGGACAGTGTGTGGACGACGTGGCAGTTGGTGAGGCGGCGGTCGACGTTGATGAAGTGCTCTCGTTTGAGAGGGTGTGAGACCTCCCCTTTTAAATCTGCCCAGCTGATGGAGCTGCCAGAGGTCGTGAGAGGAGAGTTACCGATGATCTCCAGACTATTTATTCCATATATGTCCATTCATGTACCCTTATTAAATATATATGTGCTCATGTAGCTTTTCTTTAGTAAATGACATATATATTTTCACTGATGTGTTTGAGTGTGCCTCCATATTATCTCTACGAGCATACATGAGTAATATTGTAACCCCACCTAGTGGACAGTAAGATTTTATATGGAAATTTCCTAGTGACTGGTGGTGATAGAGCAACACAAACATTTATAAAAGCGTACCCCAGGCTGGTGATCCTGTTTCAGCGCTGTCAGTGCTGAAGATAAGCCTAAGTCTTCCTTCACTCCTCCCTGGGGCAAGGCCGGAATTGCTTGTAGCAGTTTTCCCCGTGGTTGACTGAAGTTATCGGTTGACTGGTTATCGATAACAATCGATAACATCCCCAGGGTGGATCAGTGGCACCCAGGTGGTGGGAGCATAGACCTGTGGTGATGGACATTATGTGGTCCTCACCTTTGGGACCAAATGACTCCGGTGAGTTACGTGAGTATGAAAGACTGACCATTCTTTCTCGTGACCCCCTAGCAGTCCCCTTGCTAGCCCACCCCTCGTAACAGAGTCTACAGTATTTTTTATTCGAGTTGATTACCATCCTTATGGTGATAAGGTGGCTTCGTTGATGGTGTCCCACCTGCGTGCTTTATCTCAGTGGCAGTATGAAGTTTCCTGGTGGACATTCAGTTTCTTTTTGTCTCTTCATAATGGAACTTCATTTTCTGTTAGGGTGGTCTTGTCCTTTCTCTTGTGGCTGTTTCAGGACTGTCATCTTGTGTTGAATACTGTCGCCTCGTATTGTGCGGTGCTGGTGGAGTCGCTGCAGCTTGCCTTTGGCATTGATGTTACATCTGCGCCATTTTGCAAGCTGTCTCGGGGTGTTGTTTCACCTCCGGCCTGCTCAAGCATTGCCTGAGCCGTACTGGTCATTGGACAGGGTGCTCTCTTTTCTATCTCTCCCTCGGTTTGTAGTGGCCCCTTCGGTTTAGGATTGTCTCTCCATGGCTCTTTTCCTATTGGCATTGGCCTCTGGGAGATCGGGTCAGGGAGCTTCATGCTCTCCTCTGGCGCAGGGGTTTCTGCTCCTTTAGCTCTGGTGATAGGTTTGTTCATTTGCAGCTGTCTCCTTCATTTCTGGTGAAGAATTAGACAGCTGCTTTGTGGAGGGTCCTTGAGTTGTTAATGCTTGGTTGGTCAGGCCAGGGGTGCATCATGTGTTGTGTCCGGTTGCGACTCTCCGCCGTTATTTGCGCGGCACGGCTTCTGTGTCTGGGATGTGCTTTGGGTTGATTTGGTTTCCCTTCCCTTTTCCAGAGTTCAGGGTCTCCCAGGTCGTCCGCAGGGTTATTCGGTCTAGCCAGCCTGTAATTTATCCCCGTGCCCATGATGTTCGTAAGTTTACTGCCCTTGCTGCCGTCTTTGGTATCATGTTCCGGGCTGACATTCGGGTGTGGGTTTTTTGGTGGTCGAACAGGGTTCTGGCTGCGCACTACCTGGTCAGTGTTCGTGGGTATAGTCGGGCCTCTGTTGCTTTGGGTCGGCTGTTGCAGCCAGCTGTCTCGACTTCGCGTTGAGGGGCGAGTGCCGACTGCCTCCTGGGTAAGTCCCTTTTGTTTTCATCTTTTGGTAAGGAGCTCCGGGAGCCGAAGTGGCTCCCCCCCAGTAAACCAACATTGAATATAATGAAATACCATTTTCTGGGTGAGTCCCAACAATCGCCCCTCCCCCCCCCCCTCCGGGTCAGTTGGCGATTTTTGAGTGTTTTTGACATCCAGCATCGGAACTGGGGTGCGGGTAGCCGACATGAGGGGGTCTGGGCTTCCCCCTTTCTCCTCCCGGGGTGCGGGTAGCCGACATGAGGGGGTCTGGGCTTCCCCCTTTCTCCTCCCGGGGAGTGGGGGAGCTGCACAGACAGCAGTGCATGGCATGACTAACGTCATGCTCGTTTGTCTTTGGGGAGTTCTGTCCACTCGTTTGACTTTCAGTATTAGTTTCAACCAGAATAATGGTTTGTTTTGGGATGCTTACCTTTCTGGGTGCCTAACCCAGAGGATGACAGACAGAATGCTCCAAATCACATGTGGAATTCTATAGGCTGAGAGAGAGAGAGAGAGAGAGAGAGAGAGAGAGAGAGAGAGAGAGAGAGAGAGAGAGAGAGAGAGAGAGAGAGGGGGGGAGGAGAGAGAGGGAGGGAGAGGGAGGGGAGGGGGTCCATCAGAGAGGCTCCTCGTGCCTCTCTGAGGCAGCCAGGCTCTGGCTCATGGTCCCCGGTAGGCCTAATAATGCCATTCACACTGACTGATGCCAAAGTCTAATATATATTCATTTCAGCCTGGATAGCTCCTGGGAGACTCCGGGTCTCACCCAGAAAATGGTATTTCATTACATTGAACGCTAGTTTTTTTCTTTTGCAGTGCCGTGGACCTTGGTGGAATCTTTAGTAAAGGAACGTTACGTAGTGGTGAATGGAGGTCAAGCGAAGATACGTTGTCAGATTTTATTACAGTTATTATGTTCTGTATTTAAAAGTACCCTAGACTTTGGTATTAAACAACTATCACTGTGTGGAGCTAACGATATAGTTGTTGAAGATCACAGAATGAATCAAGTAAAGAAGAGCCTTAGAAGATTGTTCAGAAAACATCAAGGTAGTGGTTGCACGGTGTTATCTTCAAGCAGCCTCCGTCATACTGATATAGAAAACCAAGTCCCTTATTTTCCATTATGTATGCAAGAACTCCACAAAATTCTTTCTAGCACTGGTCGTCTTCGTCATCATGCTAGGATACGTTATACACTGTTCCTCAAAGATATTGGATTGCCTGTAATGGAAAATATAGCATTTTGGGAAGATTTTTATTGCAAGCCGAAGTTGGGCCATGGTGGAGGCTGTTGCCACTCTTGGGAAGGAAGTGATAAGAGGCGCTACACTTATGGTATCAGGCATCTGTATGGGATAGAAGGCAGCAGAAGAAATTATACTTCCCATTCCTGTACCGCTCTTCAAGTAGGTGTTATGATTATTTTGCCGAATTGTTTTATGTTATAATTAAGAATATTAGAATAAAGGACTCTGTATATGACTTTTGGCCCATGCAAGGCAGCTCCTACTGTTTCCAATCTCTCATGTTTTTCTAAACAATGCATGAAAATTTTCAAGTTAATTAACTTTTATGGTACTTGGTATCTTATTCCTTAGATCTGCCACCCTATTTCTGAACCAGTTTTTGCCTATTTATTTTTATTAAATCTAGGACTTTCCAATTTGAATTCTTATTTATACTCTAACTTGGGTTGATCATCACAGCATCCAATTCATATCCCCATTTTTAAAGTTTTTGTTATCATTTATTGACTTTGATCATGTCTGCCATTACTCTACACCTTTGTAAACAGTATAAGTTGATATTTCTTAGTCTTTCTTCCTAAGAAATGTGCGCCCAACCACTTTGGCTGGATTGTAGAGCATTGGTCTCACTTCATGCAGGACGGCGTTCAATCCCTGACCGTTCAAGTGGTTGAGTACCATTCCTTTCCCCCGTCTCATCCCAAATCCTTATGGTGATCCCTTCCAAGAACTATATAGGCATAATGGCTTGGTGCTTTCTACTGATAGTTCTCTTCCCTTCCCAAAGAATGTTTCATTTTATTGTATGATCCATCAGTCATCCCTCGTAGCTCAGCTCTTTCAGCTTAGGAACAAGATTTAATAACAAAGGCAGGATTTTTCTTCACAAAATGTAGTGGTTTCAAGAAATCTGCAAGCTTGCTCCTTATCGACCTTTCTAGTAACTTGCAAGGGATGCATGTTAGTTTTGGTGATCAGTATTTTAATGGTTCTTGTCGTCAATTTTTCTTGTATATTGACGCCACATTAATCATTTTCCAAATCTGGAGGCTCTCCTTTTTCCAGTAAGGATTTGGTAACCATAGCAAGGGGTCTGCACAATGCATCTGCTGCTTCCTTTAATAACTATGGTATGGGTTGGTATGTGTATGGTCATGCCTGGCAAGAGTGCTTGTAGGTAGACAGACAGGCTTTGGAATGTTGATTTCTGGGGTTTGGGGTTGCAGGAGCCCGAACATTTGACCTAGGTTAGGCATTGGTGTCAAAACCTATGAGGCTGTTCCTTCAAATTGGTTCCTTTTATTATCATCAATTCCAGTCTGAGCTGGATGCTGCCTTCACTTTTTTTTATTGTGCATTTACAGGTCTATGTTTGAGGTCTGGATTAACCTCCCACTCAGTAAATTTCGGCAGTTCTACCTTCCAGTATTTCTGGGCTAGCGTGATTTGCTCAAGTTCTTACTCAAGAGCCAGGACATTACATTGGAAATGACCTAAATGCATTTGAGTTTGACTCTACAGATGTTTCCTAGTTAAATTTTGAAGTCCCAGGTTCCTCCTGGTTGGTGAACAATACATAATTCACCTTGATGAAATGGACTATTTTCTGATGTTTGAACATTCTGGATTGGAAATAGTTGCTCAAATCTTTGAAGTATTTATAGGTAATTTCTCTTTTGATGTACTTAATGGAGTTTCATTTCTTCTTACCCCTCCTTGTGATGTGGTTGTGTGGCAGCTTCATATCCAGGTTCCCAAATTCTTAGTGGTTTTAGTCACTGTAAACCACAGGAATCAGACTTTTAGTGAAAGTTCTTCATTTTTGTATTGCTCTCAAAATGCTCTTGTTACACCAATGGAGAAAAGTGGGTGTCCATACTTAGCATTCCTTTTCCTTCTTTTCTACCTTGGTATCTGCTTCATATACCTTGCCAAATTTTTTTACTGAGGTCTTTTAGGATGCAGTAACAGATTTCTATGCTGGATAATGAGCTGTTTATGTGCAGTCTTAATCACCTCAAAAAGTTTGCTTGAGTGCTCTTACTGGGGGGAGCCCCTACGGCTCCCCGGAGCTTACTAAGCTGATATGCTAATGTCGGACTTTGGCATCAGTCATGTGTATGGAGTTCTGTGGGCCTACTGGGGACCACGAGCCAGAACCTGGCCCCCTCAGAGAGACATGGAGAGCAATGGCCTATAGAAACCCCCGTGTGGTTGAAAGCATTCTATGTCTGCCATTGACCGGGTCAGGCACCCAGAAAGGTAAGCATCCCAAAACAAACCCCTATTCTGGTGAAAATTTTGCTACCAAAAGCCAAACAAGTGGATAGAACTCCCCTAAAGAAACGAGCAAGCGAGTATGATGTCACACGTCGCCACACCGCTGTCTGCGCAGCTCCCCCCTCCCCGGGAGGGGGAAGGGGGAGCCCCAGACCCCCACGCCGGCTGTCCACCCCTCAGTTCTCAGGCTGATGCTAGAGGCGGAGGTCATGTGCTTGGCTCCAGAGTTACCAGCACTGTGCTCTGAGTGTGGTGACTGTCTTCCAGGGGTGCGAGAGCCAGGAGTTGCAGCCTACAGAACTCGGGCTGCATGTGCCTAGGGTTATTGTCTTTGGGTGCCCTGTAAGTACTGCCCTTGGAGCTTGGGGCCACCTTCCACAAGTTCCTCGGGGTCTGCCTCTACTGGGCCGTATTACTGCTCGGTTTTTCAGCCACCCTTTGGGTGCGTGGGGGTTTTGTCTTCCTTGTTTACCGTAGGGGCAGTTTGTACTGGTGCGGGACGCAGGGCACAGCTTGTTTTCACCTTTCACAGCGGCTGGCTCTGTTCCTTGGGGTGCGTTGTCCTCTTGCTGGGTTTTATTTTTTCTTTGTATTTTTGTCTTGTGGGGTGGGGGTGGGGTCTGCCTTGTATGCCCCTTTGTGCCTGACCTGGGCATGGTTCTTTTCTGGTGGTGCCCCCTGCTAGGTCCCCGTGAGTGTACACATCCCTGGGATTCAGCTTTTAGAAAGTTGCTTGGTATTTGTGGGTGCCGCTTAGCAGTACCCTGCTTGAGATTACCTGGGTGTGAGTCCTTAAACGCTCAGGACCCTGGGGAAACCCCTAGGGGGCGCGTGGGTCCGATGGATGTGACATTTTCGACCCGGAGTCCTGCGAGTTCTGTTGCTTGCTGGTGACTCAGTTTACCTACTCTCATGATGATATTCAACAGGTACAGTTGCACAGGTGTTGCATGTGTGCTTCAGGTTGTCGCAACGTGCTAGGTTGGTTATTCACCCAGATTCCCCTAGGCTGCCCCGTTTTGCCTATAGGGATCCGGACTTGGGGGTGGGGATCACTACGACCTTGGTTCACTCTGCGCCCCCTCGTCCTTCATCTATTGTGGTTCGTTTTGGTTTTCCCTCCCCCCCCCCCTGCTTCCGGCTCCGAAGCATCTGAGGGTTTTGGAGTCGGGGCAGAGTTTGGATGGTCTTGAGTCTCAGGCAGTCTCGGGGGATGCCCCTTCTGGTGTGGCGACGGAGGCATTCGAGTTCGCTTTCCCTGCCGAAACCTCTGGCTTTGACTCGTGGGCCCCCCTTCTATTCAACTTACTCAGCTGCGTCGGCCTTTTCTTTAGGGGCTGTGTCATCCCCAGAGTGGTGCTCTGGGGGATGACTCGGCCCCGGGTCCCGAGGAGGGGATCCTGGGGCTTTGGAGGGGGATCCTGGGGCTTTGGAGGGGGATCCTGGGGCTTCGGAGGGGCTGACTTGGAGGGCTTTGGGTCCCGTTGGACCCCGCCTGGGGTTTTCTACCCTCAGAGCGGGGCTTATTGTTACTAGGAGTGGGGGTTCTCTTTTCCTCCCTCTGTGTACGAGTTGGATTTGGTGTCTGCCCCTCCCCCAGGTTCGATTCCGTGTTCCCTCGGGTGCGTCGGTTCCGTCTTTCCAGAGATTTTCGGCTTCCCGCATCCAACCGTCTGCGGTGCGGGCGGCCCTAGCGGCTTACTTCCTGCGTGACCCGGATTATGCCTCGGTGATGGATCCGTCGTCTTTCAGGTTTGGGACTTCGTTCTCTTTTTGGGTCCGTTACGAGGTTCCGGAGTCGCCCTGGCTGGCGGACTGTCCTGTATTCGCTTTGGAGGCTTGGCATTCTTTGTCGTTCCCGCACGCTTGAGTGGCGCGAGGCTTCAAAGATGGTTCAGGTTTTCCTGGGGGGCGACCTTGAGCACCTCAATGAGTGCTTGTTTGCTTGTGCCCTTCCCTGGGATGTTGGCGTTCTGCAGTTCCATGTGCAGGTTCCCTCCCTTTCGGCTGCACAGGTGGCCGAGGATTTGCGCGCCCAGGGCCTTTTGGCTTCGGCCTTGTGCATCTTTTCCCTCCTGGAGCTGTCTTCGGACTGGCTTGGGGAGGATGTGGGGGCGCTCGGGGCCGTTCCAGGGTCCAGTGCTTTGGGCTCGGCGGCTGCCTTTGTTGAAGCTCTTTGCGCCGATCTTGCGGAATGCGGTTTCACTGTTTTATGCTTCCCAGCTCGCGTGTCGGCAGGCAGTGCTTGCCTCCTCTCAGGAATCTGCCTGGACCTTGACTCTTCGGATGTCTCACCTTTTTGTTCTCTGTTTTTTGCACCTTTGGCCGTGGCGCAGTATATTCAGGCTGCTTCGGCCAGTTGCCATCCTATGTCAGACTTGTTGGTTCTCCTGGGGTCCGGGGGGGGGGGGATGGGGGGTCTTTCCCGGAGGGGTCGTGCCAGGGCTCGGGGTTCCACTCGTCATGGTAGTCCACAGGTGCCAGTTTCGGGTTCGGCTCCGCCTTCGGACCCGCCTGCTTGATACCTGCTTGATGGGGTTCTGGGAGTTCTTCTACTCCCCAAGCCCGGCCCAAGGCCAGGCTTGACTTGTGAGAGTTTGGTCCACCAGGCTGTTGCTTGGAGCGGCCCGCAGGCCCACATACCCACCACAGCCCGGTTGGTCTGGCACTTCTTGGAGGAAACAATCTAGCAATGTTTAACAATTCTTGTTAAACAAGAAACATCCTCTTGAAGATGTCCACGGTTGTTCTGGCAATATTTCTTATGCTCGCTGGGAGGACGTTGAACAATTGCGGACGTCTGATGTTTATACAGTGTTTTCTGATTGTGTCTATGGTGCACCTGCTCTTCACTTCCATTTTCTTCCATATCGTTCACT